AACCAAGAAGACTTCTACGATATCAGACAGGGTTACAGTACATACAGCGGAGGGGGGGGATGATGACCTCCGTGTTTCACCTGATGTACAGGGTTTTGAGAACAAAAATATAGCAAAATAATGCTGTAATTTTAAAATATTGGAATTAATATTTTTCTTCAAAAATAATCGTAAATTTATTTCCATATATGTCATTTTTTTAGTTTTTCGTTTGTATATCAAGTTCAGGAACCACTTCTAGCGACGAAAATCTCTAGCTACGCCACTGACCCAGCGAATTGATAGGGAAACGCGCTCAAATAAATATTTAAAACTTTAAACGCGCGCTATAAACTATGTCACTTGTCTGTATTATGATTGGTATAAAGCTGTCTGAAGACTTGTCCCCTTCAAAAGTCAAATGGACCCGACCGCGTATCAAACGAGAACCACAAAATATATTTCTCCGTTAACTTGGGAGGTGGTAGAATACGCGTCCTGGGTTCGATTCCAGGAGAACGGGCTGACTGCATTTTGTGGTTTTCCCAATGCTTAACGTGTATACGAAAAAAAGCTTCCCTCAGAAAGTCCTCCACGAAGGCAACCCTCCTCTTAGGTAGATAGCCCTAGTGTGCTTTGGCATAATCTACCAAACCAAACCCTAAAGTGCAATTTCCCCAAATGTACTGTATCAGTTCATTCTTATTGTAGACAGTCTTGTCCTAAAAGTATTCTTTTTGTAGTTCTTTATCTTTAGGTTAGAGGTGATTTAGTCGACATGCAGGGGCTAATAGCAGCTTCTTTGTTGAGAACTAGAAACGATTTCTTGAAATTTTCACTCCTCTTTGTTCGTTAATGAATGGGGGGAATTGTGAATTTCAAATGGAATCTAAGGCTTTTCATTTATTTAAGCAGACAGATTAGGATTTGGACCGCGTGCCGCCTAAAGGGTTTTCCATCTTTAGGCGGCACGCGGTGTTTTATCTTTTTTATAACAACAGTTTCAACAAGATGATCCTTGTATAAGCCGTAACGCTAACGCAGAATTTGCAAATACAATATCCAATATCCAATATAATATAAGGGAAACTTTCAGAATCACTCACAAAATTTCAGAATCATTCATATTACTCAAGATATTGAATGTATCTATTGAGCAATAATAAAATTTTAAATTTATCTACAGTCCCTTAAGACTCTTTTTTTCGGGGGGGGGCTAAAGAAGTACAGGTAGATAATGCAAGTAATAGAAGAATAAACCGAAACTCGAAAGTTTTTGAATCTAGCTGTTGAACTTTCCACGGCTTTCAGACAATGCTCTGCAATTACAGCATTTTTTTTTTTTTTTAATTTATTGTAGAATTAGATACAGTAAAAGGCTCGTCAGTTACAGATAAACATCAGGATTAGTTTCAGAACATTGCCGAATGACAAGTATTGTCTTTGGCAAACAACTACCAGAAAGAAATTGACTTTTTTTTTTTTTTTTTTTTTTTTTAAATTTTTTAATCTAGGTGAAAGCTAAGGCTTGCGAAACAAATCATAGGTTTTGCCGTGAGACTGGTTACTTGTGAGTTCCACATAGAAAATAAATAACTGACGCTTCGCACAATGAAAACACTTGTCCTGTGGATGATAAAGGCTTGCTGATGGAACGTAACATTCAGAAAAAGTCTTTCTTAGAGACGTATTTGACATTACATATTTTACTGATTTACATATTTCATCGCATCGTTATCAAGAGAGTTGGTGGAATGAAAGAAGTAGATACATCAACCTGTTTTTGAACTGAAAAGACACAAATTAAAGTTTAATACTTAATCTCAGAAAATTAACCATAATAATTCGTATCTTGCGAAATAAGACCATAAATAAACTTAAAAATCTTTTTAAAAAATAAATAATAAGAAGAAACCTAGTAGACAAACAAATTCGTGCAAAACCCATAAAGAAATCCATGTAAACACAAGAAAAAGTACTACATGAAAAATTGATACAAAAGTCGTGGAGAAAAGATTTGGGGTTATGCGCTTCCTCATATGGCTATTACTAATTGTGCATTTGACGTACGGAATCACATCTTGTTCTAGTCTTGGTCTTCTCAAGTGCAGACCTGGTCTTATGATGCATGTGAACAGGTAATGCTCTGGATCACTCCTCTTCCCACATATGCATAAATCTGAAGTGTGAGATTCTTGTTAAAGAAATATGTGAGGAAGGGGCCGTGGCTTGAGAATTAGCCATGTTATTTGTCTACTGACGACGTTTGGGGTTGTTAGTTTATTTCTGGATATGGGTCGTATGTGCGCCTGCCCTGTTCGAAGAAATCCCATCGGTGTTGCCATGCTTTTTCAAATGTATTTTTGAGTTAATCCTGAGGTGGAAGCTTGGCGATGGAACGGTTAATTTCGTTGCGTTTATACCTTTGGTTGGTTCTTTTGCTAGGGCGTCCACTATCTTATTGCTCTTGCTGCCAACGTGCGCTTTGATCCATGATATTATGAAAGGCTGATTGGTTATATGAGAGGCAAAGTTTAGGATTTCCAGGGTTATTGCTGATCTATTCGTTGGGAAGGCTACTGAGTGCATGACGGATAAGCTATCTGTAAAAAGATAGGAGGTTTTAAAGGAGTGGTGAATATTGTATTTGACGGCTTCTAACATGCAGTTGCTTCTGTTTGGGCCGTGAGGTTTAACAGGAAAAAAATAAGATGATACATGCCAATCCTCCATTATTTCGTAAATAAATCGGTCCGAATGGCGCTCATGGTCGCGGTTAAATTATAGAAGAGTTTTCACTCAGATTATGCTAAAATCAGTAACAATTAATTCGAGTATTATCGTTCAACAGAGGTCACCTGAAGATAATTCACGGCTCCGGATAGCTGAGACGATTAAATGCAGCTTATTTGAGGACAAAGTGCATGGACTATCAGGGGACCAGGAAGCTCTTGATCAATATCCTTCGCAAAGCATAGATAATTCCATGGCATGTCAAAAAGCAAGAGAGAAAAATATTGCGCAACACGCAGTTCTTTTTTTATTTGTTTAATTTTTTGTTCAAGATCAGTCAAAATATTTTTCAATACTTGTATTGAAAAAAAAAATATTATTTTAAATCATACAATAAATAAGTAATATGGCATAAATAAAAATAAAATAAGAAATAATCGTATAGCATAAATAATAATGAAATAAAATAAATAATTTAAATCGTTTAATAAACGAAATTTTAAATAAAAAAATTAAATTAAATAATACATTATAAATAATGATAATAAAATAATATAATAAATAGTTTGAATCATGTAATAAATAAATCATTTAAACAGTATAATGAATAACTGAAAAAACAATTAATCTACAAGTGGCGCCCAAACTAAAAGGTGGTGAACAATAATTCGTCACCGCCAGGATTTGGCATTTGAGTCCCTAATCCTTAATCGCCCTTTAAAATTGGGGGTGTACAATGTATTTTCTCCCTCTTTCCAGCCTGCATTCACGCTGTAACGGTAGCACTTCCGGCGCGTATTCGAGAGGCCCAGGTTGAGTCCCGCCAGGGCATTGCATATTTTTCACGTTTCCAGCATCAGAAAACGTAATGACTCTTAGAAACTATAATTTTAATATTTTTCAACCCTGTTCACTACACTAATGAAGGCAGAAAAATTTTGTTAGATTCTTTCTAATGAAAGCTTTTGTTCTCTTTGTAATTTCATCAGTTTTATTTTCATTAGATATAAGCTACTGATGCCCCCACCCATGCACCAAACGCCTGTTGCTCTGAATATGTCTTTTCCTAAAACTTTCCTTAATTGCCCCACCAGAGTTTGGCAGTTCTATTCTGGAGCCCCTTTAAACAAACATAGTTAAACTGATGGTGCAAACTTCGAGCATCTTTTGAAACATTCAAGCTGTCGTACACCATTTGTATTCATGTCCAATAAATGTTTCAAATGCTCTTCCTTCTTTTTCCAATCCTCTACCACTGTTACCACTTACCCCTGACATTTCCGGGTATAGAATCCTATGCAATTCTTAATCCTTATGATTTGCCCTACCTTCCCTAGAAGTTTGTTGCAACATTTACGGTATACCTCGTATATATATATATATATATATATTAAGATTAATTTATCTTTCCTTTTTGCGTATTTTTGGTTCGAGTGTTTAGACCAACAATCGGTTTTATCAATATTTCGCCAGCCATTCGGGTTTGTTGCAACATTTACGGTATACCTCGTATATATATATATATATTAAGATTAATTTATCTTTCCTTTTTGCGTATTTTTGGTTCGAGTGTTTAGACCAACAATCGGTTTTATCAATATTTCGCCAGCCATTCGGGTTTTCTCATTTTTCTTGAAATCGGATTGTGTCGGGGGATTCTTTTCGTATATTTGAAAATGATTTTGAATTAATATGAATTAATTCAATTCAAGTATTTCTTTGGATAATATTAGACTCAATTTCATTCGAATATACCAGAGGGACAAAACACGATCAGATCTCAGAAACTGTTGGGGATTTTATCAAGAAGGTCTAATTCCCTTTGAAATGTCAGCCCTTTTCTACGGAATCGGCAATAATTAAATCTGCTTTTATTTTTATTTAGTTATTATTTTTAAAAAAGTTTTCTACTAGACTGAATGACACTTATTACTACGTTCCATCATTACAATTGTTTAAACTCTTCATTTTCCAAGGGAATAATCACTATTAATAATTTAATTTATATATATAATATGCATTTTACGCGACTTGCCGCTCAAATGACTAGTACTCAAGAAAAATCTTGAAGAAAGTTGCCATATGGTGTTTTAGGGATTTTCCTCTGCCCTATGACTGCGGTAGTGCAAACCTGTCACACGGAAAAGACCCTGCATGCATTGACATGTTTAGAAACCGGCTCCGTTAATATTCTTTCTCTAATATATCTCGAAACCTAAGGAACGTAACAGTAAAATGAACAGCACAAAATCATGATCTCAGATACAAAAATTAAAAACATGCCTTACCAATTAAATATTAAAATAAGTTTCCCAGAGGTGTAATCACATTGCAATGCGTATTACTTCTTCCAAATGCATTCGAATGAATCACTTTTAACAACTCTCCTGAAGCAGCCACTTTTCATCTCCGGATATTGAAAGAAGGTGAGTTAATCTTGAAAACAGCCTTATCTACACTTTGAAACACCTCTACATGTGAAAATGGATGAATCAAATTTTGTCTGAACCGTGATAACACGCGATAAAAGGTATAAAATGTGCTCTAGAGGAGATAGTTCATGTACATTTCCTAACATTAAAGCTGATAACGCTTAATTTCCTTTCGGTTGCAATTCAAAGACAAAAATAAAAATGAAAGTCATTTGTACCCAGAATTTCTAACTTCGAAGACAATATGAGTTTCACTTTGTTCAATAATATACTCTATCTTCCCTACCATCCCCCCAGGACTATACAGTTATTACAGACTTAAAAATCACTTATGATAACAACGAATGTGTCCATTAGATAATCGGATTTAGGATCAGGATAAGGATTAGAAAATTATTTTGTGACGTACATTTAAAAATACACTTTCTTCTCAGATAGCTAAATGTCTCCCAATAGCTTAAATGCGCATGGTGATGAGTAGGCTATTTGGTTGGTTGGTGTCGTGTCCTTTGAGAAGTCAAATGGATCCATGCGTAGAAGTCACAAGCTTTTGCTAGTTCCACAATCACTATACAGCTCTCTATGGAAAGGAAATTCCCTTAAGCTTTGCAGAGCTGCAAGTATTGCCGGACAGGTGAACAGGTGTTCTGGAGTAAGCTCCGCTTCGGGTCGGTTTCTACAGCTTCTATATGATCTAGTAACTATCTTCATTAATTTTCATCCTCTAAAGTGGCAGGTTCTCAATCTAGAAATGGTGTTTGTAATTTCTCTGTTTGCATCAATCTCACATATCTGACGGTCTTTCTTAATAGATTTCTCTTTGAGTCTATATCTGGCATTGGCATTAGCATCTTCAAAAGCAACGAGGATTGAGTTGTTCAGATTTCTTGCCTTTTTAGCCAGATCATCGGCTGCTTCGTTTCCATCGATTCCAACATGTGCAGGTATCCATTGCATAGTGCATGCCTTTCCCATCTGGTTGACTGTTTCTAGGTGCTGGTGTACATCCTGGGTGCAGTATTGCCTCTATGCAGGCAATACTAATGCAGGCAATAATGGTCAATGCAGGCAAGGTCAATGCAGGCAATAATGGTCAATGCAGGCAATAATGGTCAATGCAGGCAAGGTCAATGCAGGCAGGGCAATTTTAGAGCCACAGTAAATTACAAGTCCTCTGGCTTTATCATTATCATTTAAGTCGATGTAAATTCTCAAGGCCTCCTGGATTGCTCTTAATTCACATGTGAAATTGGAAGCGATGTTGCCTGTTCCGTGGCTTTGGAGTATAGTTGCTCGATTTGGTATAGTGATGACAGTACCGGCTCCACCCTGTTGGATAGTCTCATCTGATGAACCATAAGAACAAGAAATATTGGGAGTACAAAATAAGTCTTCGTCGCTTGAAACAAACTGCCGTATGGTGTTTTAGGGATTTTCCTTTGCGCTATGACTGCGGTAGTGCAAAACTGTCCCATGGAAAAGACCACAGTAAGTTGTGATTAAAACTGTCTAATGTAAAACGTCATACTGTAAAGCTGGGCATCTGCTATCAACATAACCTTGAAATGTTATTGAAATTAACCTTGAAATTGTATCAGCAGCACATTTTTTTTTTTCGGGCAAAAACTTCGAGTTTTGAGTCGAATGATCGTCATTTGTGGGAACTTTTTATTTACTACTTTAATTTGAAGAAATCCGCAGCTGAGGCGTATTATTTTTTTATTTCTTGGCTTGTCTCAAAGTTCCGTATGATAAGCAGTGGCTGCTGTGGCTCGCAATTGAATTTTTTCTAAATTAATTAGCATTATTATGACAAGAATTTGAAGGAAAAAAAATTAATAGTTTGGAGTACGATTTTACATTATGTTCAGTGCCAAAAACGAGCGTAACTCTCCAGAAAATCTAGAAATGGAGTTAATTAATTGACATAGTTATTTAAATCTCATACAAGATTTGAAGCTCCAAATTACTTTTATTAGTACTCGTCAAAAGATAAATATTCTCAGTTACGAATTTTTGCAATAAAAATAATCGCGCTGTTTTGGAGTACATTTTAAATTTGAAAATTTTTTTTTTCGTAGTTGAAAATTAATAAATCTACGAAAAGAACCAGACTCCCTATGAATATTTACAATTTGTGATCAAGATACTTTTTAGAAATTTTCCTGCAAAATTACAGACTTAAAGAAAATCCAAACACCGTGAGGGATTGTAGCTGAAAAGTACAATAGGAAACAAATAAGTTTATAATTATTTACGTACAAATATTATTTTATTCTGTATTCGTCACAGAAAAATTTAATAAATAAAATACAGAGAAGAGATTTCATTGCTTATTCTCAAGTTTTGTTCCTATTGGGAAGTTTTCATTCATTTCTTTTTAGTCCGAGTGAAATAAAAGTAAGTTATTTAGCAGTAATTTCAATATATTACAATTATTTGAATAAATGTCTCTCCAAAAATCTTAATATTTTGCCATCAATGAGTTTGAATTACAAATTGTGAGCAAGAAACATTTGTTGAAGATACCAACTTTTAGATGTCAAGCAGAAAATAAGCATAAATTTGAGTTTTTGGCCCAAAGGGCGTTACCCTAGAAGGGCTATTAATTTCGTTTTGGTATTTTGCTTTGAAAATTTTAAATGTCGGCTCACTTTTCAAACTGTTGCCACTAAATATTACAGCCCTTTATATTTAAAGAAACTAAATAATGAAGAATGTGAATAAATGTATGAATGTTTCTCGCATTGGGATAAAATGACGGTACCTACAGCCATAAAATTTTGAATAATGTACGTTTCCACCCGAATATAGGCATCTGGAATTTGGAATTTGTTTTATTATCGATTTCATGTTTTGTAACACTTCAACGAATATTTGATTTAAAAACTAAACGATTTCAAAGCGAGCAATGGCAACACTGTACGGGGGGAGGAAAGTTTATCTCCAGCTCGTGAGTATATCGGAAATTCTAAAGATATGCTAATTTTAAAATTATTTTGCGACATTGCTGTTGAATTGAATTTTACGGTTTGAGTACGTAGAACATGATATTTAATCAATAAAGTAACACACAAAACGTTAAAAAAAAAAAAAAAAAAAAAAAAAAAGAGCCCCGTTGGACGTAATTTAAAATCTGAAACCATTCAGATTTTATTTTATTTATTATTATTTTTTTTTAATTTGAAGCATGACTGAAAATGAAACAGACATGCATATAAAAGGATTAATTCTGCCGACAGATAGATTTTGATCGTCGACTAAAAAATAAAAATTACTTAAAGATATGCATGTAAAGGTCAAAACACGAGGTATACTCAAACTGTTCGTAATAATAAATTTGTACGCAAATTTGTACCAAGTTTTTGTAAATACCAAAAGTATTCGTAACATGATGAGTGAAATTTATGAGACTGAGTAACTGATATTGCTAATATCAATATTAACTGTAACGCTCTTTAAATTTTATTAATGATTAATATATAATTTTATCAATAATTAATATAATTCAATTGCAGATTAGGCTTGGAAATAGAGTGCGATCTGCATAAACGAAGCAGAATTAAATTATGATATTAATTGTCGGCGAACCTTACCTGAAATATATCTATTCCAGATCTTAAATTTGAAGAATTTAAAAATTTTAAGATATGAAATTAATTAGTTTTCATATTGTGCAACATTTAGCAACATGTTAATACGGAAACACTATATTCAACTTGCGGCTTTCCGTCTGTCTACAGGATATGATTGCCTTGCCGCCCACCTGCACCACGTAGGCATTTCAAGCGATCCTATTTGCCCATTTTGGAGAAGAAATGGATAGGAATCACCTATTCCGATATGGGGGTTCTTCGTGGCCTTACACAACAATCGAGATACTGAAAGGCAAAAACGCTCTTTAGCCAATGACTTCGCTCTTTGTTCTTAGTTCTATTATTTGTAAACTCTGTTTGTAAGATTTCAATTTTTGTAACTTTCTGCCTAGCCATTGGAAATAATAATAATAATAATAAAATTAAACTTTCAAACACATGTAATTCTAATTTTAATTTATTACTATAACTTTCAAAATATCTAGTATTCAGAAGCATGTCCATTGCGGAAATTCAGGATACGTCCCTGGCTTACCATAATTCTTTTTGCTCAAACCGAGACATTTTTTGCTCAGAAATGAAGTTTTGAGGAAATGCTCACAACAGAGTAACTATGATTGAAAAATTTAAATAAAGTTGTTAACAGACAACAACAGTCAGTTAAAATTTTAATAACGCCAAATGAACATATATTGTTGCGAAATGCCCAACTGCGATAAAACAGCTTCTCCGCAAAGCTGTGCTACGGTTTCCAGAAAGTGGTATAAAAAGGCTGGATTGCCGCATTTGGCCCAAAATCACCCATTTGGGGACAAAATTGGCGATATGCCATCGAAGCAGCGAGAGCATCTAGATATTCTTACCGGTTTTCCCGAGAAGTTCTAGAACGCAGGTCAAAGCTATATATACTGTGCTTGTACGCGGAGCAGGAGAGTATATTGAGTTCAGTAGCAGTGTCTTGAGTTCAGAGATTAGCTCAACAGCGATCAACCGAGTCGGGAGCTGTATTTTAATGCTTTGCCGTGAAGCTGTCCTCACCGTTATAGCCTGATGGCTGTGTTGCTTATTGTTTCAGCGTGTTTATTGTAGTTTTTCGACGACTGTAACGCTTCTTTGGAACAGTCTTGTGTAAAAATGGCGAATAAATTTTGTTTTGATTCATCATCAATCACTCAAACGAACCCGTAGAACGCAACAATATTCAAAAGAAGTTATTAGTTTTATCATTAGTATGAATTTTTCGTTAAGAAGTATTTATTTTTAATGGCATCGAAAAATTCACTTAAACTTGTACGCATATTTGTGCCATATTTTTGTAAATACCAAAAGTATTCGTAACAAGTTGTTGACTGCTAATTTTGCAGCTTTGTAAAACTTTTACGGTGGATTCTACCTTTTTGTTCTGACCATTTCA